CTTGTGGAAAAGTATATGTAATGGTAATTGGTATATGATACTGATAATTCATGAGATGTCCAAGCTTAATTTTTTTTCATTTTTCAGAATAACAGAACTATAGACTAGCGTCTAATAAGAACACCTTCCATATTTTTAATGACTTGCTAATGTTATCTGTTAAAATCCCCCAAAGGGATCACTATTCCTCTCCACCCTCAGAGTGTACTTTAAAAGCTCCTAGGGACAAATGAAATAAAAGTTATTAAATGGGTAGCAGTTCAAATACAGATGCCAAGGATAACACTGAAAAGAATCACGCGTAATTTGTTTCAAATTTTGACTGAAAAATTCCCAATGATATTCCCATGTTTAAGAACTCTGTCGAAATGAAATGCAAAATCGCTCAAAAGCAAGTAAGGTCCTTGAAGGCAGCGACAATTTTATCTTTGTCTTTATGCCCTCAGTTGCCTGAATATAGGAGACATTTAATGAATTTCTTGAGTTGAATTGAATGTAAAAAGCTTGCTGATATAATGTGACAACCTAGTTGTAATTCCTGGTTTAGGAAAGACAAAGCTTCATATTCTTCCAGAATTATCTTAGTAACATAAAGCTGATCTCTTTATCCATTTGCTACTGTTCATATAGTAACAGGTCATTTTAAGTAGGTTTGCTTTTGTCACTGTAAAGAATTGATTCCAGACAGATGTTAGCACACAATTTAAGTTTTTAAAAATATTGTCAAGGATTTGATTTCAACATTTCCTGTAATGCATGCATTTCAGAAAAAAAGTCAGATGCAGAAAAATTTCCTAGTGTAATATCCCTGAGAGATTAATTCATTACTACTTTAATAACTCAACTTATTAAAAAAATGCATAATGCTTGGGTAAAGATACAATGATGGAATCTAGCCCAAGAAGGGGTGAAAAAGGTAGATTATTGATTGCATATTGAAATGGTAAACATAGAACTGAGCTGGCTGATATAACTTTACTTTTATTTTAAAGTCTTCTCTGTTCCCCTTGCATCATTTTTTTTACTACTCTAGAAACCTAGAAAAATTCTAGTGGAATTGATAGTCTGGGTAATTTAATATTCTGCTTGATTTCTGATGATTACATAATCCCATTCTCCCCCTTAACACTTCATGATGAAAACCTTTTCCTGTGATATTAAATGACAATATATTAAAGAACATTCCATTTTTTTCCTTCATTCACAATACTGAAGTGTCTGCCCCTTTCTTCTTGGTCTCCTTTGCTGGAGCAATACCCTTATTTACTTTTCAGCTCTAACTAGGATTTCCCCAAGATTCTGTCCTAGGCTTTTTTCTCTTCTCTCTCTATACTCTAACTCTTGTTTACCTTATTAATTCCCATTAGTTTAGCTGTCATCTCTATGCAGATGGTTCCCAGATCTATATATCTAGCTCCAGTCTATTTCCTGAGCTTCTGCATCACTAATTTCCTGAATCTCAGTTCTGCATCACCAATTACGTATTAGATGTTTCAAAATGGATGTCCTAGAGACATCTTAGATCAACATAATTCAAACAGAGCTCATTATCTTTCCTCTTGAACTCCTACCTCATTTCCAAACTTCCCTATTTCTATCAAAGGTACCACTATCCTTCCATCCTCTGAGGTGTGTCACCTTGGCATTATCTTGAACTCCTTGTCCTCTTTTATCCCATGTATCAAATCAATTGCCAAATCTTTCTATTTTTACCTTCATAGTATCTCTTACATCCAACATTTTCTCTCAGATCACATAATTATCACCTTAGTTCAGGCCTTCATGGTCTCTCATCTAGATTATTGCAACAGATTTCTGATTGATCTCCATGCCTCGGGTCTTTCCTCACTCCAGTCTGTCCTTCACACTGCTGCCAAAGTAATTTTCCTTGAGTGCAGATTTGACCACATGATTCCCCTACTAAGGTAACTCATGTGACTTCCTCTTGCTTCTAGAATCAAATATATACTCATCTCCTTAACTTTTAAATCACTGCACAACATAATCTTTGCAGACTCGTTGTCTGTTATTTTCCCTTCTGCACCCTACAATCCAGCCAAACTGGATCTGTCCTTTTCCCTGTTCATCACATGTGAGACTCCACCTACCATTGCCATGCGTTTGAAGTGGATTTCCCATGTGTCTGGAATGCACATTCTCCTCATCTCTACCTCTCTTCTTTTAAGGCACAGGTCATATGCCATCTTCTACATGAAGTCTTTCCTGTTCCCTTCAACTATTTGTACCCTCCCCCTCATACTATTATATATTTAAATATATTTGCATTTATTCACTTTGGATTTATGATCTGTATGTATGTGTGTGTGTATACATTTGTTGTGTTCTCTCCCCTATTAGAATATAAAGAGTAAGGATGATTTCACTTTTTGTTCCTATATCACAAGCACCTAGGATAATGTCTGGTACATAGTAAGTACTTAGTGAATATTTGTTGATTGATTGCAATCTGAATATCAATCTTCATTATATGGAATTATATGTGTAGGAAGTAGGTTGAGTCTATATGAATTAAGTGCAATTGTTCTTTACTATATCATAGATATTGTTTTCTTTTAATTGGCCACTTTTCTCCTCAAAGCTAGGTACAACAACAACAACAACAACAACAACAACAAACACCCAGTTAAGTGAGGTTTCTAATTAATATGTTTTTGGCCAATTGTGGCTTACTAGAGTTGAAAGAAACTTTAAAGGTTGCTAAGTAACCTAGTAGATAGACTTCTGATCTTTGAATAAGGAGGGCTTAAGTTCTCAAATCCTGCCTCAGGTACTTACTATCTATGAGATCCTGACAGATCACCTAACTTCTTAGCCTCAGTTTCCTCATCAGTATAATAGATGCAATAATAAAGCACCTACATTAAAGGGTTATTGTGAGCATCAAATAAAATATACATATGTGAATTTTTGTGTATATATGTGTATGTGTGTGTGTGTGTGTGTAGCAATTTGCAAACTTTGCAGCATAGATAAATATCATTATTGTTTTTATTGTTATTAGTTCATCTTCCAATCCAATGTAGAAATTCTTTCTCTAATACCCATAAAGATGATCATCTAGTCTCTGATTGAACACACTGCATACTGAGGCAGCCCACTACACTGTTGAATTACTCTAATTGTTAGCAAGCTGTTTCTTTTAGTGAGCCTAAATCTGTCTACTTGTAACTTCCACCCATTGGTGCTAGGTCTTCCCTCCAGAATAAGAGTTCTTCAAGAATGGAATTTTTCTTCTTTGTGAAAGTCTGTAAAATATTTGAAGATAGATATCAATCAATCTCCCTTTAGTCTTCTCAAAATTAAACATACACCGTTCCTTCAACTATGATTTCCAGACTCCCTTAATATTCTGATCACTCGTTCCTGGGGAAACACTGATTTGTCAATGTTCCTCTTAAAATTTAACTCCCAAAACAGAACACAGTACTTCAGATGTGCAGAATACAGTGGTATTATTCTTTTCCATGACCTTGAGCATGGGAGTCAAAGTGGATAGAATGCTGGACTTCAAGTTAGAAAGATGGGGGTTGAATGCCATCTCTGATAGTTACTAGCTGTATGACCATCTGTGTCTTTATGTCTTTGAGCTTCTGTGTCTTCAACTGTAAAATAAAGATAACCACAACAGCAACATAATAGAGTTATTGTAATGCCCAAATGATATTTAGACTTCAAATTTTAAGGTCCTATATAAATACTAGTTATTTTTATTATCATCATTTCATGTTACTAAAATTAGGTGCTTTGGAATTTCCTATAAATTACTTTTACTTTCCTAACCTATTGTCCTCACCGAGATGTCATTACATTTTTATTTATTTCTTTGTTGGTGCCTGTATTTCAAATTAAGGTGGACTAGCAATGAACAATATATGTAGGTCTCATTTTAGTGATTTTGTTGCTATGCTACTAAAAATATTCTAAAAGAATATTGTTCCATGATATTGGATTTTCATATTTAACTTCCATATGTCAGGTGATACAATACATTTTGTGTCTGTATGATGCCCAGATTTTTATAGAATTTCAGATTTGGAAGAGGCCTAGTAGTCATTTTTGATTGTTTCTATTCAATGAACATGTATCATTTACCTACTATGTGCAAATTACTGTACCAGGTGCTAAGGATTAAAAAAAACAAACAAACCAAAAACCTACCAAGACATCAAGGAGCTCATGTTCTATTGTTTGGCATGGCCTTGACCAAACATCTGATGATTAATTGATGTGTAGAAAGGACTATTTTTGGTGTTATGAAAACACAAATCCAGTTCCACAATGAGTGGTATACTCTTGTGGAGTACTGAGGAAGACCAAAAAAATTGGAGTGAAAAAAGAAATCAGATCTTACAATTTGGGGCATCCAGTTGAAATTCCTGTGTTTCTTGTTGGGCTCCCTTTTGAACTTATTGTGCTCTGCTGCCTTATTTGGAAGAATCTCCTACTTAGAGGTGATATACTTCTTACTGTGAAGACTGGGCATCTTGTAATTTTCTCCTCAGAGTATTTCCATGACCTATAGTATTTCTCTTTTACTCTCTAAGCAATTTTTATCTTTTGGGAAAGGACAACATAGAAAGGAAGGGCATCAGACTATTTTCTGCAGTAAGATCATTTGGTCTGGCAATGTGAAGTATTCTGTAGCTGAATCTTCATTGTCCATCACTACAATTCCTAGGGCAGCTATTAGTTTATTTGAATAGTAGTGCAAAGTGCGACTGTAATAGTCTAAATCTAAAAAATTTTGACTTTTAAAAGTCATTCTTAGAAATATTTTCTATTTGAGGTTTACTGATGTTTGGTTGTAGAAATTGAGAGGTATATTTTAAAAATAATTTTATGTTTCTTTGAGTGGCTACAGTTCTGAGTCTGTCAGTATTGTCCATGTTTACAAATTTAATTTTCAAGTGAAGTTATTATATACTGATGCCATGAATAACTTGGATGATATTTCCTAATTGTATTTATTTTGTTCCTAGGAAGCAACAAGACAATCATGCACATTACAACTCTAAAATACGCAGGTAAGAATTTTAATTATTTTAAAATTAATCTTTGTCCCACTTTTAGTTTCTCATAATATCTATAACCCTTCTGGCCTAAGGGTAAATTTCCTCAGATTCTCTTTTCTTTTGTTCCAGGAAAAGTAGACTCCTTCCTTTCAAAAAAGCATTTTAAAATTCTTCTATTGTATATTGTGTTTGATTGTGTGTGTGTGTGTGTGTGTATACATACAGTGTGTATATGTGTTTGTGTGTGTATACCTGTATGCTGATCAACCAATCAATAAGGCATTTATTCTGCAATTATTATGTGTCAGATACTGTGTTAGACAATGGGAATACAATAGAAAAGAGACAGTTCCTGTCCTCTAGAAGCTTGTATTTTAGTTGGGAAGAATACAATGTATTAGTAGGTAATTAAATTCAGAATATATACAAATAATTTAAAAGTGGTTTGGATTGGGAAAACTAACAGTATTGTCAATCAGGAAGGAAAGTAGCAGTTCTAAGAGTCAGAGGTTTAGGAAACATTGCATTCTAGGCATAGTGGGCAGCCTTCATAAAGTAATGGAGGTAATGGAAGCTATGAGAAGGGGTCATTTTGGGTGAAAGACAATGAGTTTTGTTTTGAACACAATGAATTTGAAATGCCAGTAAGATATACAGGTACAAATAGCTAGCAGCTAATTGAAAATATAAAGATTAGAGCTCAGGTAAGAAATCAAGGCTAGACATGTAGATATGATTCATGTGCATACAAGTGACAATTGTAGTCACAGTAGCTGTTGAGATTACCAAAAGAATGTAGAAAAAGGAAAGAATTGAGGACAGAGCACTGGGTTGTATATCCCTTCATAGTGGGTGGGATATAAATAATGATTTTGCAAAGGAGACTGAGGACAGGTAAGAAGAAAACCACAACTGTATGGTCTAATGAAAACAGAAGGATGTAGTGATCAGCAGTGTCAAAAATTGTAGAGAGGTCAAGAGGGATGAATAAAGAAACTATTGATGAGCTTGAAGTGGGAAGTTTCACTTAAATTGTAGGGATAGAAACCAGATTGAAAGGGGGTAAGAAGCGAGAGATGAGTAAAAAAAAAAGTGGAAACAATGAATGTAGACAGTTTTGTTGTTGTTTTCTATGCATTTGTCTGTGAAAAGAAAGAGATAGGACAACAGTTTGAGAGGATGTAAGGGCCAAGTGAAGGTATTTTAGAGATAGAAGAAATATGGATATGTTTGTAGGCAGCAGAGAAAGATTCAGTGTACAAGGAAAGGTTGAAAATAAGGAGAAGGTCAAGTTCCACAAGAAGAAAAAAGGGGATGTGTATGTGTACATATGCATATACACACACACACATACACATATGCACACAAATTTAGGCATTTATATATACATACACATATAGGTATGTATAGGTAACTGAAGATAGTTTGCATTAAACATATAAAGTCCTAAAATTTGTCTAGAAACCATGTAGTAATACATATCTTTGGATTTAGGTCATTTAAAATTTTCTTCTTAAACAAATTAGCATCATGATACATTTTCCTTTAGGCCATGTTCTGCTCAAAATAAAGGCAACATTTCAAGGAATCTAGGTTTATAACTTTAAATCAAATTTGAACTTAATATATTTTTGATAGGTACTAGACCTGTGATTTTTTTTTGCTTTTTTTTGGTGAAACAATCGAGGGTTAAGTGACATGCCCAGGGTCACACAGCCAGTGTCAGGTGTCTGAGGCTGGATTTGAACTCAGGTCCTCCCAACTCCAAGGCAAGAGCTCTATCTGCTGCGCCACGTAGCTGCCCCTAGACTTGTGATTTTACTGACATAGGGAATTCCTTGATAAGGGATCTCCTCTCTGAAAGAGCAAAGGAAGGGAATAGGTATTCATTTAGTACCTATGATGTGCTAAATGCTTTACAAATATCTGATTTGATTCTCACAACCCTTGGAAGTAGATACAATTGTCATCCCCATTTTCCAGTTGAGAAACTGAGGGAGACAGAAGTCAAATGACTTGCCCACAGTCACACAATTAGTAAATGACCGAGGCCAGATTTGAACTCATATCTTCTTGACTTGAAGCCCACCAGTCTATTTACTGCACCACCTAGTTGTCTTCATGAATGTAGGCTGGTACCTTTTCTGCAACTTATAATCTCAGAGAATGCCTAGAGCTCTTGGAAAAGAAGTTACTTTGCACAGGGTCACATAAACAGTATGTGTCACTGTTGGGACTTGAACTCAGGTCTTTCTGGTTCCAAGGTTAGCTTTTTATTCACCATGCCCCGGCTGCTTCTCATATTCTAATATTAAAGTTTAATATTATTAATGTAAAACAATTGGAGAGTCAAGACATTTGAGAAAAGACTTTAACTTTAAAAAAAAAAGGTGACTAAGATAAATTGGTTTTTTTTCCATTATAGTCTAAAACTGGTAATTTGGAAATTAGTTTTTTAGATAGTTGCTTATCATGCCAATCCCTTTGTTTTTTCCTCTTCCTTCAGGTCATTACATCTTAGTGAGAATAGCAACTGAAACTTCACTCTAGCTGATCTACAAGCATCCTGCTGGGCTAATTTTCACCCCAATATTTCATCACAGCAGAAAATACTCCATCTCCATAAGAACACTTTTCAGATTCACACAGCTTTCTGATGGAATTTCTTTCAATGAACAGGACTGTCTTATTGTGCAATCCCAGAGACATTGACATCTAATGCCTATAGATTACTGTGTAGAAGGCTCCAAGGAGAAAGAGACACCAGTAAATTTTCAGAGTCCCTGGAAGAATGGGAGCAACAAAGATTTAAAAAGCACAGCTTTGGACACACTCCATGTGTGTACACAGCTTTCAAGTGAACTAGCACTTAAGACCGTGTGTAACAAAATGGACTCTGGGGATACAGCTATAGGGCAGAAAGTTACCTCAAGGTCTGGAGAAACTGCTAAAGTACTGAGTAGATGGAGACAAGAACAATCAGCTGTTATTAAGATGAGCACTTTTGGCAATCAAGAAGGACAGCGGCAACCACAAATAGATCCTGAACAAATTGGAAACACAGCATCAGCACAACTTTTTGGTTCTGGGAAACTGGCATCATCTACTGAAGCTGTTCATCAGGCTATAGAGAAGCCATATCCGCCACACCGCCCAAGTCCTTATGCATGCCAACATTCGCTTTCTTTTCCTCAACATTCATTGCCACAGGGGTTCATGCACAGTGGTACCAAACAGCACCAGAGCCTGGAAGGCCATCATCCATGGCAGTTTCCTGGCCACATGCAGTCAATCTCCTCTGAGGACTTGTTTCCTTTCCCCATCCATGGTCACAGTGGAGGCTTTGCCAGAAAAAAGATTCCCAGCCTGAACCCTGCTTATAGCCAATATGCACAGAAAAGTTTAGAACAATCAGATGATGCTCACAAAAAAGAGCACAAACCCAAAAAGCCTGGCAAGTACATTTGCCCCTACTGTAGCAGGGCTTGTGCCAAACCGAGTGTATTGAAAAAACACATTAGGTCCCACACTGGTGAACGGCCATACCCTTGTGTACCTTGTGGTTTCTCTTTTAAGACAAAGAGCAATTTATACAAGCACAGGAAATCACATGCCCATGCAATTAAGGCAGGATTAGTCCCTTTCACAGAGTCAGCCGTGTCTAAATTGGACCTAGAGGCCAGTTTTATTGATGTGGAAGCAGAAATACATTCTGATGGTGAACAGAGCACAGATACTGATGAGGAAAGTTCCTTATTTGTAGACCGGCCTGGCAACCTGAGTCCTGGACCATCAATCCCATTGGATATTGCTAGTAGAAGTGGCTATCATGGGTCTTTGGAAGAACCCTTAGGAGGCCCAATGAAGGTGCCCATTTTGATAATTCCCAAAAGTGGAATTCCATTACCTAGTGAATGCTCCCAGTATGTCAGCTCTGACACATTGCCGACTCCATCCTTAAGTACTAAAGCGGATGACTCGCATACTGTTAAACAGAAACTTGCACTAAGACTTTCTGAGAAAAAAGGACAAGATTCTGAGCCATCTCTAAACCTCCTGAGCCCCCACAGCAAAGGAAGCACTGATTCTGGTTACTTTTCCCGCTCAGAAAGTGCAGAACAGCAGATAAGCCCCCCAAACACAAATGCCAAGTCTTACGAAGAAATCATCTTTGGAAAGTACTGTCGGATTAGTCCAAGAAATGCACTTAGTGTCACAACATCTGGTCAGGAGCGCACCATGATGGGTAGAAAGAGTATAATGGAACCATTACCTCATGTAAACACAAGGTTAGATATCACAATGATTGAAGATCCCACTTCACAGGTGATCCCAAGCAAGGGAGATATAATGGAACCTAGTCAACCAAGTCCTCTGAAATCCACCAAATTTAACACTGAGCCCCGACAATCCCAAACTATTCCAGGATCTCTCAAAAATGAAGGAAAACTTTATTTCCCAAGTCATCAAGGTAGCTCCCCAGTTCTCTTAGAAGCACCTGTAGATTCTTCACCACTTATTAGAAGCAACTCTATGCCAACTTCTTCAGCAACTAATTTAAGTATCCCTCCATCTTTGAGAGGGAGTCACTCATTTGATGAAAGAATGACTGGTTCAGATGATGTATTTTATCCGGAGACTGTGGGAATAACCCCACATCGAATGTTAAGAAGACAAGCTGCATTTGAGTTGCCTTCGGTACAGGAGGGGCACATAGACACAGAACATCATGGGAGAATATCAAAAACTATCAGTGTCGCTTCTAATAGAATGATTGGTGAGATGGGCTCATCCCTGAAGGAAAAGAAACTGATGGCTGGTGATAGGATTGGTTATGACTATGATGTCTGTCGGAAGTCCTATAGGAAATGGGAAGAATCAGAAGCAACCAAGCAGAGCTTCAGGGATATCTCATGCTTAAGTGGCTTAAAACATGCAGGGGAATATTTCATAGATCCATCAGTGTCATCACAGGTAGTACCAACCATATTTGGAGTCACATGTGAAACCAGAAAACGCAGGAAAGAAAAGAGTGTGGGAGATGAAGAGGATACCCCAATGATTTGTGGCAGCATCCCAGGCACTCCACTGGACATGATGACTTCAGATTATGATCCCAAATTGCAGATGCAGGAAGGGATGAGAAGTGGATTCACTATCTCTGTTCATGATAACCCTTCTCTTGGTCATTCTGAACGTTTTGAACCATGTAGACCCCAACTGCAGTCTGGAACCTCATCAGAAGAATCACCCTTAATCACAGATACCGAAAAGATGGCAGACCCAGCGAATAGGAAACCTCCCGGCAATGTGATTTCTGTAATTCAGCACACAAACTCATTGAGCAGACCAAATTCATTTGAAAGGACTGAATCTACAGACCTTGTGGCTAGCCAGCAGGATAAAGCCTATTCACCTTCTGAGATTTGTGAGAGTGAGACTTCAGAAGCCCCTGTGAGCCCAGAGTGTGTCCAGCAGGGGGATAGCACTGAAGTAAGGGGGAAACCACCCTCATCCCAACAGCAACATCAGCAGTCTTATCACATGCAGCCCAGGTTGGTTCGTCAGCACAACATCCAGGTCCCTGAAATCCGGGTTACTGAAGAGCCCGATAAGCCAGAGAAGGAGAAAGAGGTACAGAGTAAGGAGCCAGAGAAGCCTGCTGAAGAATTCCAATGGCCCCAGAGAAGTGAAACTCTTTCACAGCTCCCTGCTGAAAAACTACCACCAAAAAAGAAACGTTTACGTCTTGCAGACATGGAGCACTCCTCTGGAGAATCTAGCTTTGAATCCACGGGAACAAGCCTCTCTCGTAGCCCCAGCCAAGAAAGCAACTTGTCCCATAGTTCCAGCTTTTCAATGTCTTTTGAAAGAGAAGACTCCCTTAAGCTTGTGGCACCTCCCAAACAGGATGAGTTTGGGAAGCAGTCAGAGTTTTTGACTGTCCCAGCTGGCTCATACTCACTGTCTGTTCCTGGACATCACCACCAGAAGGAGATGAGGCGCTGTTCATCAGAACAAATGCCTTGTCCTCACCCGGCTGAAGTTCCAGAGATCCGGAGCAAGTCTTTTGATTATGGGAATCTGTCTCATGCTGCTGTGGCAGGTGCGACTCCTGCCACATTGTCCCCATCCCGGGAGAGGAAGAAATGCTTCCTGGTGCGACAGGCTTCCTTCAGTGGCTTCCCAGAAATCACTCCGGCTGAGCCAGGCATGGAACAGGGTATAAAGCAGGAACAGATGGAGCACATGCAGGCTGGTCTCAGATCTGCATGGCATCATTCGTCCTCTATGCTTCTTCCTATTCTGGCAGAGGACTCTGGGAATCAGCTTGGGGCAGGTTCAACCCACCTAGCACAGCAGCCAGTTGTGCATATGGACAGTCAGGAAACTTTGAGAACTTCCCTACTCCCTCCAGCACCTTACATCTCCAGCAAACACCCATCAGAACAGCCACACTTATTTGCACATCAAGAAAATATCCCATTTCCCCCAATTCACAATGCCTTGTTTCAATTCCAGTATCCTACTGTCTGTATGGTTCACTTACCAACTCAGCAGCCTCTCTGGTGGCAAGCATGTACTGAACCTTTGCAGAGGCATTTTCAGCCTCACTTTGCGCTACAGAAAAGTTATAGCAAGTCCCCTTTCCAGCCAGAAATTCATACCAGTTATCACTTAGAGCATGCTGCTGACCACCTTGGAAAGAAGTCTGATGATTATGCCCACACAAAAGAACAATCTTACCCGCACTATTCAGGAATGTCAGGAGAACACTCAAAGAATGCTCTTGCAAAGTTTCAGTCAGACCATAGTATCAAGTCAAGTGATATGTCCTCTGAGCAGCATCCTCAGGCCGACTTTGATTTATCAAACTCTGGACCCATGCAGCCAATTCCCGGAACAGTGGTTCCTGTCAGGATTCAGACCCATGTACCATCATATGGTAGTGTCATGTACACCAGCATTTCTCAGATACTTGGGCAGAACAGCCCAGCAATTGTCATCTGCAAAGTGGATGAAACGATGACTCAAAGAACATTAGTCACCAATGCTGCCATGCAGGGAATTGGATTTAACATTGCCCAGATGTTAGGGCAACATGCAGGCTTAGAAAAATATCCTCTTTGGAAAGTACCTCAGACCTTACCCCTTGGCTTAGAGTCCTCAATCCCATTGTGTCTGGCTTCCAGCTCCGACACTGCCTCTACTCTTGGTGGTAGCAAACGTATGCTTTCTCCTGCTAGTAGCTTAGAACTCTTCATGGAAACAAAGCAGCAGAAAAGAGTCAAGGAAGAAAAAATGTATGGTCAGATTGTTGAGGAGCTAAGTGCTGTGGAGCTAACCAACTCCGATATCAAAAAGGATTACTCCCGTCCACAGAAGCCTCAGTTAGTTCGGCAAGGCTGTGCATCTGAGCCAAAAGATGGTTTGCAATCTGGGTCATCCTCTTTATCTTCACTATCACCCTCTTCATCTCAAGATTATCCATCTTCCAGTGTGCCATCCAGTGAGCCATTCCCACTCAGTAGGGAAAAACTTTCTAGCTTCAGTGCAACACCACCAGGGCAGAAATCCAGTGGCCCTTCTGAAGGCAAAGAATCATCAGATGAGTTAGATATTGATGAGACAGCATCTGACATGAGCATGAGCCCACAGAGGTCATCCTTACCACCGGGGGATACTCAGCTTGAAGAGCAAGGGAAGCAGCAGAAATTCCCTGTTGGTATGTTGGTCCAGATGGCATCTGGTCCAAGTGGGAAAATGGGAAACTCAGCTATACTTCTAACAGATGTGGCAGATTTCCAGCAAATTCTTCAGTTCCCTAGTTTGCGCACGACAACTACTGTGAGTTGGTGCTTCTTAAATTATACAAAACCCAGTTATGTGCAACAAGCCACCTTCAAGTCCTCGGTTTATGCTTCATGGTGCATTAGTTCATGTAACCCAAACCCATCAGGTTTGAATACCAAGACTACTTTAGCACTTCTGAGGTCCAAGCAAAAAATTACCGCAGAAATTTATACTCTGGCTGCTATGCATAGACCGGGAACTGGCAAACTCACCTCATCAAGTGCTTGGAAACAGTTTGCTCAGGTAAAGAATTCATTTTAGGAAGTATTAGAAATTGGTTACTGCTAAGCAGAATAAATGGTGAAAGCAAATAATGTCAGAAAACTATAAGCAGAACAAGGATCAGAGAGTGGAACTATTATGCAAAGCAGGGTCATCACATACAGATAAATTAGTCAGTTGTTGTGTGATCCAGGAAAGATTCCAGTGTCTCAAAATGACTCCTAAACCAATGTGACACAACATCAGAAATGTCACTGTTAGGTCATCATTCTTTTGGTTCCCCTTCCTTCTGTTCTTTTTTGGAAGAGGTTAACACATTAGACTGTTTTATCACTAATGCTGAGGTATTTATAACTTACTAGTTACATTTCCTTTTGAATGCAAGGGCCGCTGACCTTTTGAGAATTAGGTTCTAGATAGAAGTTAAAAGGAAGTTTGCAAATGGGGGCTAAAAGGCTTCAAAGACAAAATTGTGTCATTTGGGTCATAGTCCCAGAACTGGAAGGGACTGTAAAGTCAACCAGTCCCACCCTCTCCTTTTAGAGATAAGGAGAAGTTAAGTAATTTACCCAAGGTCCCACAGGGAGTAACAGAAGTAGGATTGAAACTCATGACTTCTGACTTCAAAGTCAATATTCTTTCCATTTTACCACTTTTCCACTTTGCCACCATTACAATTTTACATAGCTCTCTTGATTCTCAGGAGCAATAATATCTCCTATGTTATTAATGTACAACACATGATTATAAATCATATTAAATAAATATCATACATTAAATATCTTCAATATTTTAATGTCTTCTATGTAATTCATTTATTTATTCTTTCAACAAGCGTTTATTAAGTGCCTGACATGTCCCAGATACTCTACCAGGTGCTGGGGATACTCCAAGACAGAAATGAAAACATTCTTGCTTTTAAGGAGTTTCTTTTTATTAGAGGGGCACAATATAGACACAGGAAAGTAGATACAAATATATACACAAAGATTTTGGAGAGGAAATTTCTAGCAACTGGAGACTGGGGCTGGATACGCCTCTTGAAGGAGATGGCATGAGCTGAGACTGAAAGGAATCTTGGAATTCTGAAACGAGGAAGGAGCCCATTCCAGACAGAGAGCACCCCCCTTGGAAAGAGGTCAAGACTAAAGATAGAAGGTCACATAGGAGAAATAGCAAGTAGTCCAGTTGGACTAGATTGTAAAGTACATGAAGGAGAATAATGTATAGTACTCTTAGGAAGGTGGGCCAGAACCAGATAGTGAAGGTCCTTAAAATCCAAACTGAGTATTTTATACTAAAGACAAGAGGGAAGCCGTGGAGCTTCCTCAGCAAGGGAATGACTTGGCTTTAAAGCCTTACTTCTCAAAGATCATTCAACATTAGCCATTTTATCATAGAACCAATTAGTTCCTCATATATAATAATGTAAAGAAATATTCTTTTAAAGAGGTGTAAAACAGGTGAGAGGAGATTGATAAAAAAAGGGAGGAAAAATTTTTTTTTAGGTATTGGTGGGACTAAAATGATGGCAGTGGGCTTTTTCTTTTTTTTCTCTTTTTTTTAAGTCCTTTTTCGAAAACATAGTAGTATTCATTAAATAAGGCCCATGCTTAAATATTATTAAAGCAAATGTAAAAACTTAAAAAAAAAGAAGTACACATCCCTTGCCCCTTCCCTATATTCCTCTTTGTACAGTCTGGGATTTTTATTATTGTTGAAGTTGTAGTACTATTTATTCTGAATATATTGTGATTCCTTTCTGATTTTCTCCCTATTGCCTTTCACTCAACTTACTTCACTTTTCAATGTGAATACCACTTACCAATTTTCAAAGATTACTTTAAAGTGTCCCTCTGATGCCTCTTCACAGTGTCCAGGTAAGTGGAGTATGAATACTGGCAGGTCTTGTCAAACCTGAAGGACTTCAGGTATATAGGTGTGATAACAGACTTATCAGAGACCAAAACCGCTAAGTGCAAAGAAGCTTAACTCTAGGTTGGCTAGAAATAATGATGAATTTTTTGGCTATAGAAGCTCTCATAAGACCATCTACTAAGTCATGGAAGGGTTGCTGTCATTGGTGGAAAGAGTATGTACCTTGCTGAAATCACAGTGCTTAATGTATTGAAATGTAGAAGACTTGAAAGGTTAGATCACTCTTTTGAAGAGCAGTGGTTGGGACAACTGGTATTGCCTGAGCTGTTACCAACTTCATTTTCTTCTAAGTCAAACATTTTATGCATCCTTTAAAAATTTCAGAAGTGTATATAACTGGGAACTTACCTCTTGGCACAGATGTGTCAACTGATTCTTTGTTTCTGTCCTACAGATGAAACCTGAAGCATCGTTTTTATTTGGCAGCAAACTTGAAAGGAAACTAGTAGGAAGTATCCTAAAAGAAAGAGGGAAAGGAGATATTCATGGAGATAAAGATATTGTATCCAAACAAACTGAGCCAATCCGAATTAAAATCTTTGAAGGAGGGTAAGGAAACATAAATGGAAATATGAAATCAGTTCAGTTGTGTTTCAAGGTAAATGCCTCTGCCTATGCAAGACATTGAGAGAAAAGAAGTTCCCATGTGCCTACCAGTTTGGAAATAAGAGTATATTATTTTTCAATGCACAGCTCAATAGTGTGGCCAGCTCTTGAGAAAGATAATGAAGTCAGTACCCTTGTGTTAAAGTCTGCTGTGCTGTTAATGCAAATGTGCTTGTTATATATGTTACAAGCATCCTCTCTAAATTATCATAGCCCTCCTTTAAGGAGGAAAATTGGTGAAGTTGATGGGCTTTTGATGACCTCTAGCTTTGTTCTTTCTTTAATATTTTTCTCATGTACATCTTTTTACTTTGAATTGAAGTATTTTGTGCTGTTTAAAATGATTAAATAATACACATTTTTTAGACAAAAAAATAGTCATATATTTGAAAATGTTGACTTTTGAACTCTAGATATTTGTTATAATACCATCTTAGCTATATGTAGTCCCTAAGGGACATTATACACACACACATACACACACACATACATATACATATATATGTAGTTGCACTACACATTTTGGTAGAAATATCTCACCAATCATATGCTATCAAAGTAAAAGCAGAGCATTATAGCAAAATCAAATTTTAGCACCTTAAGAGTTGTTGGGATTTCAGTATAACTAGCCTTAGATTTACAGTAGATATATGTGTCACATTGTATTTTCCCTGAGTTCATTCTAATTATATTTGAGTAACTAGACTTGTGTTTTTTATATAAATCTGTAAAATGTTAACTGTTTCAGATATCTGAGATGATTATTTTTTTCATAGTTCTTAGCACCTTGTGGGGTAAAACACTTAGAGAAATCAGGAAGCTTTTTGTTTTTATGCTAGGCTTTCCACTTCACTATCTTTGTGTACCTAGCATTTTTGTCACTGAAACAAGGGTTTATGTATGCTCCATGAAGATTTTATTATTTGAATCTCTTTTCAAATCTCTCATCTTCTAACACAAAGGAGAGAACTGTAGCTTTTATCTTTCTCCAGAGGCTGAGGGTCATTGTGACTGAATCAACACTCCCACATTCAACAGTCTTCTCCATAGCAGGGCATTTGCACTCCTAGCTTAGAGAGACCTTCCAGTAGACTTACTGTATGCTTTGGGGAGTCACATCTCCACCAAAGAAGGAAGCAAGTGAAAAAGTGTATGTGCATATTTTATCACTGTGTTTTGAACATCAAAAAGGACTATGCTTATGTTTCATTTATGTATATAATGAGCCATATCCTTATAATTTCCTTAATTAGTGTTTTAACCTGAATGTGATGGTGGCCAAGTTTATATTTCAATAAATAAGTACCTCCTTTTGGGAGTAGGTTAGGGGGATGTTGTTTTTTGTTACACATAAATATTAGAGAGGAAAATAAAAATTATTTATTTTTGATGTCCAGTTTCTTACATTGACTTTGACAGATTTGACTTTACCAATTTCTTTTTTTTCTTTTTCTTTTTTGCAATTGGGGTTAAGTGACTTGCCCAGGGTCACACAGCTAGTAAGTGTCAAATGTTTGGTCAGAGGCCAGATTTGAACTCAGGTCCTCCTGACTTCAGGGCTGGTGCTCTATCCATTGCGCCACCTAGCTGCCCCAACTTTGCCAATTTCTTACATTGACATTGGTCAGAATATTTTTATATTCATTTTCATTAATTAATTAATTCCTCTATGAAATACAACATATTGATCCTGTAAAATTGTGTTTCCAGCCTCTCATTTGTGTAGGTTAACTCTTATATATTGCTAAGGATTATGTAATTTTTACCATATCCAAAAGGAAATCTGCTCGTTCTAATTATATTAATATCACCTTACTTGAATGGTAAAGATGTATATTCCATTTCCTATGATGACAGGCCCATATTGGGCTTGAAATGCTTCTCCCTGGAGAAAGTTAGCTTTTCCTAGTACCATTTCCTGGATCTTAGTCCCTCAGTACAATTCATTGAGTTAGTGATAATATTTTATGAGACTAAAGAATCTTGTTACCCCAGTCATTTAATGGCAACATGTTATCTTAATTTAGAGAAGGAGTGCAGATTATCTTGGTGTCTAGGGACAAGAGCAGCTTGGACTTCTCATATAAAGGAGTTGGGGAACATCTAAGAAAGCTCAGCTGCATAGCTAGCTAATAATTCCTTTGTCTGTGATTTGCTAAAAATTCTGCCTATTATTAATCGATCAGCAAGCATCAATTAATTACTGCCTACATGACAGGCATTGTGCTAGGGTCCTGGCCCTGGCAAAAGGCTTTACAATTTAATGTCTGTTTGGTGGCTGATGTGAAGTAACATCTGCAGTAAGATGAGTGGTTTGGGGCTGTGTATGGATTTCACCTGAAAGCCCTCGGATTTGGAGAGGTATTGAGATTGAATTTCCTTTTGTTGGTTTTGATAGTTTCTCCAGAGCAGAAAGAAGGGCGGGGGTGGAAGGAGGTGTGGTAGAGCTATGGTTCAAGGCACAGGTTTTGAACCTTTTTGTGTGTGTCATGGATGCCTTAGCAATCTAGTGAAATTTATAGACCCCTTCTCAGGATCATCTTTTTAAATAATTGAAGGAAATGTTAAATTTCAGTTAGTGGTTAGTGAAAATAAAGAAGTGTTTTTCCCCACCTATGTTCATAGACTCCCTGGTCTATACATGAATACACAAGAGGGATTCATGTCCCCCAGATTAAGAACCTTTGTTCTAGTGCAAAAATAAAGACCTTGAGTATTCAACGTTTGTTAATTCTAATACCTTTAACAAAACATACAAAGGATGAAAGTGTTCGGGGATTTTGTATGTCATCTTCCTCTCTGGAACCAACAATGTACCTCCATAGTAATATATCTAGAATTATCAGCCAGACGATTCTATCTTGGATTCTAGTACAGTGCTTGACACCTATGTTTTAATAAATGCTTGTTGATAAAAACTAAAAGGGGCTAATAATAAGTGGAATACTTAGTGAATGACTGCTAGGCATTCTGACATTTAATGTTTATCTCTTTCTGAGCCAAAAGTAGGGATTAACTTCTCAAAGCTTCTGGAAATGCACGGAAAGTTGTTGTGAGACAAATGATGCCCTTTTTTCCCCACCAGTTTTCATTATGTAATAATTTCTTCAGAAAGTCTTTTGAAATTTAGGAGACCCTTTCCTAAGGATTTATATTCTATCATGGAAGAGCCGATCAAATCTGCAGACAACAGTTGGTGATCTAAGCAAGCTCAGTCGTTTTTAAGCTGGCAGTTTGCTGAGAGTTACCGTGTTGCCAGGGTTTCAAAAATAGAGTGAAGAGTTGAGATGAAGAATTCTATTATCGGTTCTACTTCTTTTAGCAAATTTGCTGGTGTATCTGTGTGTGTGTGTATGTGTGTGTGTGTGCGTGCAGTGTGTTACATGCACACTTCAGAAGATATCATTGCATTAGAAGAGGATATATATGAGGATATATATGTTCTAATATGTTTGCATATTTTATTTGTTGTCTGCTGTCTTAAGGCTGTCTTCATAGCCAAAAGCAACAATGCATAAATTTCCAACCTTTCACTTCAGTGAACTCAGTTTAAAAATCTGTACTTTCCATATCCATATTCATTTATATATTCATATTCAAAATGACTTTTATTTTGATATTTAAGCCAATATACTTCTGGAATATAACAAGCCTATCAAGGGAAGTAGTTTTCAGTAAGGTAACATTCCATTCCAATGCCGTAGTCAGATTCTGGTTACTTCATTTCTTTGTTCCCCAAATTTCTAATTTCACATTATTCATGGGACTCATAAGGAAATATGTGAATGGTTGTTTCTAAAAAAGCTTTGTGAAAATTTATAATGTTGCATTTGTTTTATAATATGCTTCAAAATATTTTGAAAACATATTGTACCTTGTCTTCCAAACAGATATAAGTCAAATGAAGAGTATGTCTATGTTAGGGGACGTGGACGAGGAAAGTACATTTGTGAAGAATGTGGAATTCGCTGTAAGAAGCCCAGCATGCTCAAGAAGCATATCCGCACACATACTGATGTACGGCCTTATGTATGCAAGTTATGTAACTTTGCCTTCAAAACAAAAGGTACGTGCATGTTGATTTTGGAGGGAAAAAAATTGGCTCTGGCTCTGGATAAAGTCCTGATCTCTCTTTCATTTCCATCTTCCATCAATTATGAGTTGTTTTCATTTATGAAAGTATGACTCCATGAAATGTCTTCTCCCCCTCAATTAAGTGGTCAAAGGATGCATGTGAGACTATGAGACTCCATGAATAACCTGATTAAAAGCCATAGGTTTAGGCTATCTATCTACAAAGGAAGTGGCATGAAAACTGCCTTGCAAATATGACTTCATGTTAGAAATGTTATGTGGTCCAGGTTATAATTGCAGCAAATATCGAAATACTATGGGGATACAACACATGCAGTGGCATCACAGAAGCAAAGCAGCAATTGAAACAGAAAAGCATGTGCTCATGGTTCTTACAGTGGGTCAGTTTCAAGCTCATAAATAATGTACAGATCCATAGACTCCCAGGTGGGCCCCTCCATCCATAGCTGCATTAATTATGCATAGAGATTTGATAGCTTGTGTTCACATGTATTTATCAGCAGAGAGAAAATCTTCCATTACTACTCTGAAACCACAGCTAATGTTATCTCCTGAAATGAGGATTTGCCTTATAAATATACTTTTTTAAATTAAAAAAAAAGTGTAATCAGTAAGTAGATTGCAGAAAACATTTCACAGAGGAAGCATGGCTGAGTCTATTTCTGCTGTTTTTATTTTTTTAACATTATGAGAACTTTTCTAACCCCAGCATTCTGAACATATAGACAGTAGTGACTGAGACAGTGGTTTTGACTTCACTATAAATGCACGTTGCATTAGCTCTAATGGATCTGACCGCTCACCCCCATAATTTTCAATGGGTTGATTTTAAAATTTGCACACCGGAACAATCTGTGCCACTGCTGATCAAGAAGTCAGACAACATACAGCTTGGTGGAGGAACGTGTCAATATACTCCTGTGGCCAAAGTTCTGGATTTATAACTAAAAATGGTGACTCATTTTCCAGGCTTTTCTGATACAAGAATGTTAAAGAATATGTTATTCACCCTAGCTCCCCAAACAATTTCATTTAAAAATTCTTGCTTCTGAGCCACATGCCTAAATCTCTTTCCAGATTCTCATTCTCTCTCTCTCTCTCTCTCTCTCTCTCTCTCTCTCTCTCTCTCTCTCTCTCTCTCTCTCTTTCTCTCTCTCTCTCTCTCCCTGTTACACACACACACACACACACACACACACACAGAGTCTCTTTGTCTCCCTTTCCTTTCCTTTCCTTTCCTTTCCTTTCCTTTCCTTTTTCCTTTCCTTTCCTTTCCTTTCCTTTCCTTTCCTTTCCTTTCCTTTCCTTTCCTTTCCTTTCCTTTCCTTTCCTTTCCTTTCCTTTCCTTTCCTTTCCTTTCCTTTCCTTTCCTTTCCTTTCCTTTCCTTTCCTTTCCTTTCCTTTCCCCTCTTTCTTTCTTTTTCTTTCTTTCTTTCTTTCTTTCTTTCTTTCTTTCTTTCTTTCTTTCTTTCTTTCTTTCTTTCTTTCTCTCTCTCTCTCTCTCTCTCTCTCTCTCTCTCTCTCTCTCTCTCTCTCTCTCTCTCTCTCTTTTTCTTTCTTTGTCCTATGTAGACATAGAGATACCTTATAGAGCAGTGCTGAGAATGCCAACCTTCCCATTAGTCTAGTTGAGGCTTTTTATTAAAGCAATCTAGTTTCCTGAGTTAAGCCTATCTATCTATATCTTTTTTGCACTCCTGTAGACTTAAGAAACACCTGAAACTGGACCAGACCTCATAGAATATAACATTTTATGAGAAATAACCCATTATCTCTCAAGGTGGCCTATTCAGTTTTTGTCTGCTTTCACTTAATTCTGTACATGTCTTAAAAATCTGAATAGGCTATGAGTAAGAAATATTTGTCTTTTTACATGCATCCCTCTTTTCTTCCTCATAGTAATATTTTGTTTTGTGTCATTAGATTCTCAGGGACTAAAGCTTGAGACCAGAATAGCTTCTCACTGATATAAAGCGGATATAAATTTGTCCCAATTTGGGGGTTTCCCAGAGATCCTAACATTATTGATGAGCAATCCATTTCTCATTGGTGTCTGTTTTTGTCTAGGAAATCTAACAAAACATATGAAATCTAAAGCACACATGAAAAAATGCCTGGAGCTAGGAGTATCAATGACATCAGTGGATGACACAGAAGCTGAAGAAGCAGGTAGGTCACAGCTTAGCTGATCGCCCTTTGCACAATGCAAATGAGTCATCCACACTTAAGCTGATAAAATTGGTTTAGGTTAAATTTTTTTTAAAAATTGTTAAATCTTTCACTTTAGTAAACACTAAAGATAGAAGAAATCTGCAGCCCATTTTGTTTTTTGAACATAGTGAAGAGGCATGGGCAACTAACGTGTGATTGAATACCTCTTTCTATAACTGTGGCAAAAAAAAATTGTGATAGCAAAGACAGTGCAATCAATGCTTTTTCTGGAAAACAATATGAAAGCTATTTTAATTTGTGTCTTTTATTAAGAACTCACTCTTAGTTGAACAGACCCACTAATGGCAAGTGGAATAATTGAAACCTCTTTTGGCCATATCCTTTAGACACAATCCTCTTCTAAATCTATGCCCCTAGGTATGGGATGGTATCTTACTCCATCCTCAGCATCATCCTGCAAGATATCAACAAACAAGTATTGAGTTCTTTATATATGCAGGACAGTGTATGATACAAAGTTGGTCCCTGCCTTCATAAGAGATTTGCTATCTAATTATGGATTCAGGACATACATATAAAAAGATAATAGTACAGTGTAGTATACATTAAGTACTGTTTGATAGAGTTCTTAGCATTGGTCTAGGGACCAAGTGCTATAAGTCATCAGAGAAAATAGTCAACCTTGTAGGCAATAAGCAAGACTTGTTATAGGTGGTATGATTCTGAACTGGGTGTTGACCAAGATTGGTTTTTGTATCTCATTCTCCACTACCTTTATCAATTATTTCAGAAAACATTGAAGATTTGCACAAGGGAACAGAGAAGAGTAGCATGTCAGGCATTTCAACTGACCACCAGTTTTCAGATGCTGAGGAATCAGATGGTGAGGATGGAGATGATAATGATGATGAGGATGAAGATGATGATGAATTTGATGACCAAGGAGACTTGACACCAAAAACAAGATCAAGAAGCACTAGTCCACAACCGCCCAGATTCTCCTCGTTGCCTGTAAATGTTGGGGCTGTACCCCACAGGGCTCCTACTGATGTTTCAATGGGGCATTCCTCACTGATCAGTTACTTAGTTACTTTACCTAGTATTCAAGTCACCCAGCTTATGACACCAAGTGACTCATGTGAAGATACACAGATGACACAGTATCAGAGATTGTTCCAGAGCAAAAGTACTGATTCAGAGCCAGACAAAGACAGGTTAGATATACCCAGTTGTATGGATGAAGAGTACATGCTTTCTTCAGAACCTAGCTCCTCTCCTAGGGACTTTTCTCCCTCAAGCCGACAGTCTTCACCAGGATATGATTCTTCACCCTGTCGAGATAATTCACCAAATAGGTATTTAATGCCCAAAGGGGATTTATCACCCAGAAGACATTTGTCACCAAGGAGAGATCTTTCACCCATGAGACATCTTTCACCCAGAAAAGAAGCTGCATTGAGGAGAGAGATGTCATCGAGAGATGTTTCACCAAGGCGCCATCTGTCACCTAGGAGGCCCTTGTCACCTGGGAAAGATATAGTGGGTAGAAGAGACCTCTCACCCAGAAGAGAGAGAAGATATATGAACACCATTAGAGCACCATCACCTAGAAGGGCTTTATATCATAATCCACCATTGTCCATGGGGCCGTATTTGCAATCCGAGCCAGTTTTGTTGGGACCTACTGTAAGTATGAAATATACATGTACATATATATACATATACATACACACACACACACACACACACACATATATATTTAACATACATTAAAGAACTGGCACATTGGAGCCCCTCTATAACAAGCCATTGTAATGTGGAATTCATGATAGCATAAAGATGTTTTAGGGCAAATGGGTGAAGTTAGGTATAGAAAGCCACTGAGGAAACATTTAAAAAGCCACTTAAAAGATAATACATACTCATATAAGTAAATGCACGTTATATTCTGTGTCAATACACTAGCAAATTGTTATAACAAAGGCTTGTAGTGTTATAGCAGGGCTCCATTGTGTTTTTATTTAGAAGTATTTGGAGATTTTTCTAACTACTTTCTAAGTTTTATTTATTAGTAATATGAATTAAAATAGGCTAAGAAACATTTTTTTAAAGCAGCTTTAGAATTTTATCTGAACTCTTAATATTATGGCATTTATGTAAATTGTAATTACCTAGGTGGAGGATTGTGTCTCAGCCTCATACCTTGATGTCATGATTTAAAAATCTACTAACCACCTTAACCACAGGTGAATGAATTTTCAAAGTCAGTGAGATCAGAGAGGGGAGAAAAAATGTATATGTTATTTATGAGGAACATTTGTGTGTAGGGGGAGGGCATAAAAATAGGTCACTTGAGTAACCTACATCTGCTTTTTCTTTCTCTTCTTACTGCTTCTAGTAACTTAATGAAGTTGCTCAAAATGAAGAAATAGAGAAAGGGTGACCTTATCAAAGGTGTATATGAAACTAGAAAAAGCTAGTAGAAGTAGGGAAAAAACTATAGATAAAAACTAGGATAAACTAAGATAAAACTAGAGATTTAAAAAATTAGGGATAAAGCTAGTAGAACTAGGGAAAAGCTTTTAGACCTATTATATGATAATTATTGGGCAAGTAGGTGGTAAAGTGGATAGAATTCTGGGCTTGGAGTCAGGAAGACTCATCTTCCTGAATTCAAATTTGGCCTCAGACATTTTCTAGCTGTGTGACCCTGGACAAGTCACTTAAGCCTGCTTGCAGTTTCCTTATCTATAAAAAGCTGGAGAAGGAAATGACGAATGACTTCAGTATCTTTGCCAAGAAAACCCCAAATAGGGACATAACTGAAATTACAGGACAACAACATAATTATTATTCATCAGTAAGCTTTTATTAAATGCCTGCTCTGTGGAAGGCACTGCGCAAAGCTCTAGGAGTACAGACACAGAAATTAAATAATCCCTGACCTGGGGAGCTTGAATGCTATGGTGGGGAATGTGAGGCTGGGGAGAGGACAATACATACTCATATAAGTAAATACAAAATATATTGTAAGAAAATACACTAGCAAATTATGTTGTAGGGAGAGAAGAAAAGAATCAGTATATTAAGCACCTGCTATATACCAAGCATTATGCTAAATACAAATATTAAAACATCTGATACTCACAACAACCCTGTAATGTAGGTGCTATTACTATCTCCTTTTTATAGGTGAGGAAACTGAGGCAGACAGGTTAAGTGGTTTGCTCAACTCACACAGTTATTAAATGTCTGAGGCCAGATCGGAGCTAACGCTTTCCTGACTCTAGGCCTAGCGCTCTATCCACTTCATTACCTACTTGCCTCTATTATGTCAGCATAGTAAGTATTTAGTAAATCCTCATTAACTGACTGACTGACATTGATACACAGAAACTAATAATACTAATCAGGATTTACTTGTATACCCAATATAAAACCTATTCTAAAAGGACCTCCCTATTTCTACCTCACTTTTGACATTGGAAACATTCTCTCTGCTATTTGGTCAAGGGTTTTCCCAATAATCATGATAACAATAATAATAATAACAATAATAACAATAAAAATAGCCATATAATAAAACCCTACATACTTTGTGCAAACAAGGGGAGCTGCTCCTTTTTAGCTTGCTCATTTCAAATGCACCCTTTTCCCCCTGTCTGTACCCTTTATTGTGCATGATTCTCCTGCTTTTCTTGTCATGTGAAAAAACATAGTCATTATCATGCAAGGGTATACAGTGTGGGAAAGCAATTATCCAGTCATCAATTCTCACATATTACTGCCCCAGTGATTGGTTTCTTCCACTCTCTGCCTTCTTCCTGACCATCAGTTCGAGCTTCCCCTTTCAGTGAGGAGAACTGAGCTGTGAGCTTGAACAATGGCATTTCTAAACTTGAGAAACAAGTACCTGGTGCATTCATGCCTCTCCCTGCTATATCCTGACATGAACATAACCTTTCCAGTTTGCATAATATGCCATTGTTGCAGAAAAAGCCATGACAACCAAGCTATCACTTGTGATTGGTGAATTAGACAGCCCAAGCCAAGAAAAGGAGGTAAATTACCACTGAGTCACTGGCTGTGGCATTTTGACAGCACCAAGTAGGAAGGTGGGAACTTCAGCATTTGATGCTGTGGCAGTGTGAATAGAGAGCTATAAATTCCCAGAAGTGCCTCATACAGTATCTGGTGTCTAAGATGCTTTCCTGGGTACAGTGGAGATTCCTAGAGGTGTAGTGATGCTGGTGGAAGTGTGTGAGACATAGCTCACCATGAGCATTATGACAGCTCCTGTTATAACATTTACCCCATGCATACTTATTGTGGTATTTATGACATGTCAAACCAATTTCAATAAAATGTGATTTTAAAAAAGCATGCCTTTTGTGCAAGTACGCTGTGATTAGCACAAATAGTAGCAACCCACAGCCATCTTGGGCGAAGGAATGGAGGGGGTGGATAAAGAGAGTTCATCTAATTTTTGGATGCATGCCCAGAAAGCTGTCATTGGAAATAGGGTAGTTTTATTAGTCATTGAGTTTCCGCCAAAATCATTTTAAAAAATACTAGCTCACCCATAACTGCAATTTAAAATCATGCAGAATGCAGTTGCAAAAGGTTAAAATTTGAGAAACATATTCTGATTTTCAGACTTCGCACCACTCCCTTCAATAGGAACATTTGGCCCTCCCTGCACACCTTTGACTTCTCCAGGGGATAAGAAAAAACAATCTGTGATTTTCCCTTATGTTACTTTTTTTGGCATGCCTCTGCAGAGAAGAAAAGGGAGGATTTTCTCCCTTCTGTGATTGGGAAGACAAAGAATACTTTCTAAATATAATAGAATAGAATTTGCAATAGAGGGAGATGTGCTTCTCCTGTGATGTACCTCATATAGTTAAATATCTCCACTACCTTCTCCCCAAGAAATAGAAATCAAATACTAAAGAAATGATTAAGAGTACCAGTAATGTTTCATGTTGTTTAACATATACGTGTACCTATAATATGCTAGTCACAGTATAGAATGTAGATACTATACATGGTACATTTTAAGTAGAATGTAAGCTTCAGGATGGAAGGGACTATCTCATTTTTTCCCTTTGTATGCTTAGCATCTAAAACAGTGCCTGGCACATCAAAGGCACTAAATAAATGCCTGTTGATTTACTAATTGGTTATAACCGGCACAGCCAACATCCCTAGAAAAGTCAGGTTTTTGTTACAATCACCCTTCCTAGTTAGGTTTAATTTTAGGAGAGTTGAGTGAATCTTACAAAACTTCAGTCCTCTCTTTTCTGAAAAAACAAAACAAAACAAAACACATTTCTTCTTCCATTTAGATACTTTCTGTGTAAATAGGCAATTTGCAAGGGGTGGGAGTGATATGCTTCACTCCTCAAAATAGAACAGTCAGATTTTCTATGCAGTGCAGAAACATGCTAAGAGCTATGTAAAATTTTACTTGGGTCTCATTAGCCCATGACTTTTACTGTGAGGGTTCTGTTTGTATAGGTCAAGTGAGTTGGAAAATCTTGCCAAGATTGAACTCAGTGGTACAGTTTATATACAGAAGATGTCTGTGGCCCAGAAAATGTTATAGTATTTTTATGATTAAAATGACTTATAATCATAAAACATGTTTGATAGTTACATAATCTGAAATCTATACTTCTTAGCTGGGAGACTACTCCTAGTACTATTGGATAATAGCTTGTCATTCTTGCACGTTTGGTACCATATGTAACATAGAGCGTTGGGTCAAAATAGAGTGATGAACTCCTCCCTTAGAATAATAGAAACCTAACATATTTTGGTCATATGAGATGGAATAGAAATATTTCAAAACAATGGATAGTGAGCACTTTGATGTACATTTTTGTAGAAATACGATGTCTGCATTTCATACTAATAGAACTTTCTCCTGATTATAGAAATACAGTGGCAAAGGAAGGCAGAATAGCTTTTTGGTTAGAGTTGGATATCTTTTTGGATAGAGAACCAGCCTTGCAGTTGGGAAAAACTAGTTCAAGTCTTCTATCTGACATCTATAGGCTGTGACATTGGGGACATCATTTAACTTCTCAGTGCCCCTAGGCAACTTTTAAAGACTAAGGGTTGCGAATCTTCATCAGTGAAGGGAGTTTCTATAATAGGAGTTTTCTACATTGATGAAACCAGAGGTTCTGAGCAAACTCTACCCCAAAACATGCATTATGATGTGAATAGGTTTTCACATTGCTAGCTTTTGTGCCATATGTTCTGAACTACAGTCCAGCAAATTTCATTATGTGATTTTATTTATATATATCAAAGACCCCCTCATCATCTTTTCAATCCATCTCCTTACCCCCCCTTCTGCTGAAGGTACTGCTACAGCATTTTTTTTTGCTATAGCATTTTTTAACTTAAAATCACAAACCCCAAGTTCGAATCTTAGCTCTGTAGTTTAATGCATGTATGACAGTGGACAAGCCACTCAACTCTCTGGGCCTTAGTTTCCTTAAGGAAATGAAGGAAAATGAAAGGGGTTGGACACAGGGGTTGGGAACCTGCAGCCTAGAGGCCACATGTGGCCTGATGCCCCTAATAGCTCTTCAAGCTCCAGATCTTTATGTGTGCATGTTCACATACACAGTAATGGCAGGAACAATACTTGAGAATTCCAGTAGCCATTGTGT